TGAAGGCTCCACTCCTCACAACATCCCATTTGTAATCAAATTCGGCCATGTTGAGTGCCCAAGTGTGATCATGGCCATAGTCGTAGAGGAATCGACTGATGGTGGTATGTGATATGTGCACTAGAAAACCTTGGACCATAGTAGAAGTGAGAGGGTCGTGGGTTCTGGGCTTGGACCGTTTGTCAATTGAACCTTAGAGAGTGGCAGCATAGGAAGCATAGAACTGCCGCACAATCTCCTTGCTATAAGTCTCGGGGTCTTGAGCCATCCAATCACACTGATGAAGCTGAAAAAGCTGGTTGATGTCGGGAATATTGTGTAAGCTCCCCGTGAGGACTCTGCGCTCTTCAGTAATAAGCCGGACCATCTTCTCTTTCTCATTCCGCATTCTGGCATCCCAGTAGATTTTCCATTGCCCCTCAACACACCATCTGTTTGGCTCCCCAGCCATCGAATCAGGGTCGTAGCTTCGTGGCACCGGTACTTCTCCCGTACTAGTGGCCTCATCAGACGAGAAAGATTTGTCTTGTGACCCTGAGCCTGTGGCGAATCCCAAACCAGAACTGGAAGCATGGGCGGGCTCAGAACCGGAAGCAGAAGCGGACTCTGAGCCAGAAGTGGAACCAGCCTCAGAACCAGAAGCAGAACCAGCTGGTGACCCGATCAGTGTGTTCTCCTCATCAGACTGGGAGAGAGTGACTACATCGGTGACCACCTGCCGGGATGTATTCCGGTTAGCCCGAGGTGCAGTAAGGGATGTTCTCGTGGCCGATGGAACATATGCTGGGTCCTTTTCTCCGTCTATGTCTTCATCAATCAGTCTCAAAGTAGGTTGCACGGATTTTGATTTTCCCCTTTCGGAGTAGGTCACTTGCTTCTTAGGCGCCATGGTACTTGTGGATGTCTAATTAGTACCAAAATAAACTCATAACACACTCGAAAAGATTTTAGAACTAAGAACGAACAAAACTGAAAAAAAGAAAAAATTCAGACAGTGGCTTCAGTGGCCACCTACGGTGGGCATCTACGATCCGTAGGATGACCTACGGTCCGTGGATCCTTTCCGTAGATCTGAGGTACCAAAAAGTTGGTCTCTGATGGAAACCACAGATGTGCAGAACAGTCCGTAGATTGATCTACGGTCCGCAGATTGACCTATGATCCGTAGACGGGGTCTCGTGGATGGGATATGTACCAGGTTTCAGGCATCCTTCAAGTTGACCCCAAATTTGCCCAATTTCAACAATATCACCTAATCTAATCATGCATTTCAATAAAATATATGCTAGTTCTTCATTCTAAGGTTTTTGATTACTAAATTCACATAAATTGCACAAAAATTAGGAACCCTAAGTCGAAACTTACATTTAGACTCTCATTACACTGGTTTTATGCATTTTAAAGACGCACGCACAATCACTATCTATCGTCCCAAGGGTGTTTGTAGTTCTAGTTTAGCATGCATTTACATACAATCAACTACCCAAGGTCAAGACCCAATTCCGGACTTTCTCTAATCAATCACTGAATCGAAATTCAAAGTGAAAGGAAATTCTATTACCTTACAAGCAATGGGAATGAGGTGATTGTGTAATGACTCGAGACTTCCAACAATCTTTTGCTCGCCTTTCACACCAAACCCGAATTGTGAAATGGGAGGATGAATATGGGGTGATTAATGGTGGATTTATGGTAATATGGAGTGATTGAGGTAGTTAGATGGGGTGTAGAAATGGTTTGAGAGTAAAAATGAGGGAAATGGGAATGATTTGAAAAAGAGGGGGTTTTATTTTAAAGATGTCTGTGTCGGGTCAGGCAAACTAGGGTTTGGACCGACAACACCCTGTCTACGGTCCGTGGGTCGATCTACGGTCCGTAGATTAGGACCATAGATCACACTTGCACTTAAAATTTTTGGGACCTTACCTGTGATCTACGGATATCATTCACGGTCCGTAGAATGAAACACGAACCGTCGATGGGGTCCGTAGACCTCTATACCAAACCTTTTTCTGCAGATTTTGCTTTTCATCCCTGCACATGTAGCACCCATTAGCCCTTTGTTTTTATATTTCCTGGACACTTTTTAGACACGGGCTCTATGCTATATCTAGCCAACACTAAACAAAAATAAAACAACTATCTAAATGAGTACAGAGAAGCAACTAAACAAAGAAAACTACTAAACAGAAAACAAAAACCTATTGTTGGCTAGATTGTATATCTGGAGGTTGCCTCCCAAGCATCGCTTGATTTAACGTCGCGACACAACTCAGGCCTTTTGATTACTCAAAGTTCATCAAGATAGTAGGCCTCAACAACTTCTTGCACACTTTATGCGTTTCCCAGATAGATCTTGATCCTTTGTCCATTAACCATGAACCTTGTTCCTTCACTATTATCAAGCTCAACTGCTCCATGTGGGAGCACTTTTGTGAGCAAAAATGGCCCTGTCCATTTGGACTTGAGTTTGCCCAGAAACAAGCGCAACCTAGAGTTGAATAGAAGCACCAGATCACCCACCACAAATTCTCGCTTTTCAATTCTTTGATCATGATACCTCTTCATCTTCTATTTGTACAAGGCTGAACTTTCATAAGCTTTTAGGCGAAACTCATCAAGCATATTCAAGTAATTCATTCTTTGATTAGATGCGGCGCCCCAATCCAAATTTAGCTTCTTCATCACCCACATAGCCTTATGCTCTAGCTTTACACGTGAATGGCAAGACTTTCGATATATAAGTTGGTAAGGAGACATACCTATGAGAGTCTTGTATGTAGTGCGATAGGCCCATAGAGCATCATCAAGCTTCATTGACCAATCCGTTCTATTAGCATTCACAGTCTTCGCCAAAATCTGTTTGATCTCTCTGTTTGACACTTCAACTTGCCCACTAGTCTGCGATAGTAAGGAGTGGCTACATTGTGGCGGACACCATATTTCTCAAGTTGCGCTTTGAACAACTTATTACAAAAGTGGGAACCTCCATCGCTGATAATTGCCCTAGGTGTACCAAATCTGGAGAATATATTCTGTTTCAAGAATGGGGTGACACTTTTACCTTCATTGTTGGGGAGAGCAACTGCTTCCACCCACATCGATACATAATCAACTACAACAAGAATATACTTCATCCCATGTGAACTCACAAATGGACCAATAAAATTAATGCCCCATACATCAAACAAATCAATCACCAATATCGGATTCATAGGAAGCTCTTGCCGCTTTGAAATTCCTCCTTCTCTTTGGCAACGGTCACGAGACTTGGCGAAATCATGAGCATCTTGGTGGATGGTGGGCCAGTAGTACCCACACTGCAAAATTTTATGCGCAGTCTGAACACCACTATGATGCCCACCAACAGGCAATGAATGACACGCCTCTAGTATACCCATCATCTCGACCTATGGCACACAACGATGAATAACTCATTGGCACAACTACGATACAAATAAGGCTCATCCCAAAAGAACTTCTTCACATCATGCATAAACTTTTTCCTTTGGTGAAAAGACAAATCTGGGGGCACCAAATCGCTTGCCAAATAATTAGCTAAGTCTGCGATCCAAGGAATCAAATCAAGGGAAGCAACCAATACTTGTTCATCAGGAAAAGCATAATTGATTTCAGCCCTATCACCAAGCTTTAGCATCACCTCTTCCTCTAATCTGGACAAGTGATCAACAACTTGATTTTCAGTCCCCTTTCTATTCTTCACCACAAAGTCGAACTCTTATAGCAACAATACCCATCTAATCAACCTTGGTTTCGCATCCTTCTTCGCCATCAGTTACCTCAATGCAGAATGGTCAGTATGCACTATGACCTTAGTACCAAGCAAGTAGGATCAAAATTTTTCAAATGCGAAAATCACTGCAAGAAGCTCTTGTTCAGTTACCGTATAGTTCTTTTGGGCCACATCTAGAGCTTTGCTAGCATAGTAAATATGATGGAGAATTTTCTCTCGCCTCTATCCCAATACCACACCAAGTGCCACTCTACTCGCATCACACATTACCTCAAACGGTTGTCCCCAATCCGGTGAAATAATGATAGGTGCAGTAACTAACTTCTCCTTCAACTCACCAAATGCTCTAGGACAAGCATCATCAAAATAGAACTTACACTCCTTCTCAAGCAGTTTGCACAACGGATGTGTAATTTTTGAGAAATCTTTGATGAACCTCCATTAAATACCTGCATGTCCAAGGAAACTCCTAACACCTTTTACAGAGATAGGTGGAGGAAGTTTTTCTATTACCTCAACTTTCGCTTTATCTACCTCAATGCCCTTCTCAGAAATCCGATGACCTAGAACTATCCCTTCTTTCACCATAAAATGGCACTTCTACCAATTTATCACCAGATTGCAGTCTTCACACCTTTTAAGCACCTCAGCCAAATGATCCAGACATCGATCAAAAGAGTCACCTAACACAGAGAAATCATCCATATATACCTCAATAGTTTCCTTTAGCATATGAGAGAATATCAACATCATACAACGTTGAAAGGTCGCTGGAGCATTGCACAACCCAAATGGCATCTGTTTGAAGGCGAAAGTCCCATAAGGGAAAGTGAAGGTGGTCTTCTCTTGGTCCTCCGGAGCTATAGAAATATGATTGTAGCCCGAATAACCATCAAGAAAACAATACCAACCCTTACTAGCAAGTCTATCCAACATCTGATCCATGAATGGCATAAGGAAATGGTCCTTTTCTGTCCAAGCATTTATCTTCTGATAGTCCATGCAGACTCTCCATCCAGTCACGGGCAGCATCAGAACAAGCTTGTTTCTCTCATTAGGAACCACAGTAATCCCACTTTTCTTGGGCACACATTAAACAGAAGACACCTAACTACTATTTGCAATGGGACTTATAACTCCAGCATCCAACCACTTGATGATCTCTTTTTTAACTACCTCTTGCATAGGCGGATTTAATCTTCTTTGGTGCTCAATACTAGGCTTGTGATCCGGCATGAGTTGGATTTTATAAGAACAAATACTGAGAGGGATCCCAATAATATCCGTAATAGTCCACCCAATGGCTCGCTTGAACCTCTTCAATACTGCAGCCAAACACTCTATTTGTCACTCATTCAAATCAGCCGAATAATGACCAGTAAAGTATCATCTTTTCCCAAAATCACGTACCTCAAATGCGGTGGTAGAGCCTTAAGCTCTAATTTTGGTGCCTCCTCAATAGACGTTCGTGCAGGTGGGGACTCACGGTTTTTCATGTCCAACTCCAACTTCTTTAGTTTTGACCGATATTCACACTTATCAAGTGCGGCGACCAGCTCATCATACTCTTCAATACCATCATTGTCGAAGTTCATCATAACCACTGCTAATGCCTCAACACCCAGTCTCTCCTCAACCTGCACCTCAAAAACACTCTCAACTCTATAGGTTATCACTGATACCAATTGGAGCTCACTACTTTGCTTCATAGACCTACAAATATTAAAAGTTCCCTCTTCGTTGTTCAGTCTGAATTTCATCTGCCCCTTTTCCATACTACCAAAGCGCGCCCCGTAGCTAAAAATGGTCTCCCAAGAATGATGGGAACCTCAAAATCAACCACGCAGTCAAGAATTACAAAATCTGCCGGAAAGATGAACGACTCCACTTTCACTTGTACATCATGGAGCACACCTATGGGTCTCTTCATAGTTCTGTCGGCCATGAGCAATCGAATTGCAGTCATTTTTGGATCTCCCAAACCTAACTTTTTGTAAATCGACAATGGCATAAGATTAATGCTAGCCCCAAGATCACACAATGCCTTAGCAAAATGCAACAACCCGATGGTACATGGAATAGTAAAGGCACCAGGATCCTCCTTCTTCTGCACAAGGGACATAGTAGCAATAGCGCTACATTGTTGCAATCTATCATCATCCTCGAAGCTAACCCCTTTGTTGGTCACCATATCCTTCATAAATTTGGCATACCCAGACATTTGCTCCAAAGCCTCTTTCAACGGAACATTGATGAAAAGTTGCTTCAACATGCTAATAAACCTGCGATATTTTCTTTCTTTAGTTTTTTTCACTAACCTTTGTGGGAAAGGAGGTGGAGGTCTGGGTATGGGGACAACTTTTTGAGTTACCTCCTCTTCCTTGTCTGTCGCACTCTCGGTCTCTCCAGACACCTCAACCACATCATCATCTAGACTAGCATTTTTTTCTACCCCAGATGGCATATGTGGATCAACGGTCTGCTTACCTCCTCGAGTTGTGACTGCCATACAATGTCCATCATTCTTTGGATTTTGGATAGTATTACTAGGAAGAGTGCCAGGTTGACGTGGGTTTACTGTAGTCGACAACTGGGTCATTTGTAGCTCAAGATGCTTGATCGACACTACATGGGCGTAAACTTTTTGACCAATACCAAACAAGTCATTTCGCATCTCCTTCACATTCTCATCAGTCGCATCAAACCTCCTCATCATTTTCTGCATCATATTCTCAATACGTGACATAGTACCTCCTGCTTTCCTAGGAGCAAAATCCCAATTTTGAGGAGGAACATAAGGTCTAACTCGATTATTTTTGTTGCCATAGTTGTTCTGATTGTAATTGTTGTCACGATTGTAGTTCCCATCTAGGACATATTGACCATGACAGTTGTAATTTCCATAATTCCGACCTTCATTTCCTTGACCTTGGTGCCAATTATCCGTGTTGCAACCTTGGGCGTTTGGTCGAAAACCCCCTGTCTGCTCATTCACCGCTTAAGCATCCTTTTCAAAATAATACTCCTATGCCGGTGGTAGAGTTCTAGTCAAATAGTTCACAACATTTACCTTCTCCACTCCTCCAGTCACATGCTTTAAGACCAACCCTAGTTCAGTTCTCATCTGCGCCATCTCCTCGCGAATTTCATCTGCGGGCTGGTTGTTTGCAACTTGAACGACAAATGTGCTCCTCCCAGTGTCTGACTTTCTAGTGCTCCAAGCTTTATTATTTCGAGATATCTTCTCTATTTTCTCTGTAATTTGTGCAAAAGTGCATTCACCGTACGAACCTCCCACGATAATATCGAGCACTGCCTTACAATTATCAGCATGTCCTCGGTAGAAGTACTCCTTCAGTGACTCATTATCAATACGGTGATTCGGAACACCCCTCATGAAGGCAGTGAACCTATCCCAAGAACTGCCCACAGACTCTCCAGGTAATGCTACAAAGTTGTTGGGTTTATCTTTCTTGTTCAACTTCTTTTACACTGGAAAGAATCTTGCTAAAAACGCCTCTGTCAACTGCTCCCATATATAGATTGAGTTTTAAGGGAGTTCATTGAATCACATAGCAGCATCTCCGGTCAATGATAGGGGAAACACACGCAACCCAATGACGTTCATATCCCAATCCGGTCGACCTATACAACTTTTGCAGACATGATTAAGTTTGGCTATGTAAGCATATGGGTCATCCGCTGGCAACCCCGCAAACAAGCCCCTTGTTGTAAGCATCTGTATTAAGCTACTGGTCACCACAAATCTATGCCCTTGAGGTAGAGCTGGTAGGACAAGAGGTCCATAAGAATCAGCAATATTAAGGGTTACCTTGAAATTTTCATGCAGACGTGGTCCTGGTGGTTCCTCTGCCCTCAGTGCATCTCCCAATCTATTCTTAACTGGAGCCTGATTATTTGCATCAATTACCCTTGGAGGTTGCAATCTAACACTTCACCTAACTCTCCCCCGATATGGTTAATCGGAACTCCTTGATTATTCATTCTCCGCAAAGTTCTATTCAGTTCGGGATTGTAGGGAGTAAGTGGTTCGCCTTGGCTCCGTGTACTTGGCATACACTAGAGTAATACCCTGAGAGAGATGAAAACAACAGAAAAAGTAAAATTAGGAAATATTTGACTAAAGTTCAATAATGCAATTAAACTTAATCTAAAAGCCTTATTCCCCAGCAGCGGTGCCAAAATTTGATACGCTCAAATTACACCTCTTTTCAGAAGCATAAGTGATCGTTCTCACGTAAAGAACCCAACTTGAATGTTGGGGTTGATCCCATGAGGAATATGATTTAGACATAAGATTAATAACGATTATATTCGTTTAGCCAATGTATTTCCGAGACAAATAAGTAAAAGCGGGGGGGATTTGTGCAACAAATTTTGGAAATTATGAAAGTAATTAGTAAGAAAAATCTAAACTTTTGTTGTTATCAAGTAGAGAAAGAAACTAGGGCGTATGTGTTCCCCATAACCTCATAACTTCGTAATCCTAGTAATAATAATCCCTTCCCAGTGTGTTATATGCAAAGCGATAAGTCATGTATATCTAAATCCTTGGTCCGACATCTAGAGAATTTCACCCCGCACCTTGGTCCGACTACGTGTGTATAATTATTAACCTTTACCATTACCTCAGATTAGACGTCACATCGATGTATGGCTTAGTTTTCACCCTCGCACCAATCGACATTAATTATATTAGATAGTGTCACACTAAATCTATGTTGATAATTCTTTTCTTATTAACTACCTCCTTGGTCCGGCAAGTAGCAACAAGGTGATTTCTAACATTGCGCACCATTAAAAAGACTTCTAGACGAAAGAATCATCAATGCATGCAAAACACTATTTGGGAATTACTTAGTTACTATTCATACTTTGTTAATCGCTCATGGTTCGCACAACATAGTTGTGGATTTAGTTACCCATATTAGCAAGATCACAATTCATAATGTTTGAAGAATAAATCATGAACTTACGTAGTAAAGTAGAATAATCCCAGAATTTCAACTTGCATTTCAAAGTAAAGATCACCAAAACGTGCTTAGGAAATTAAGAATTGCTAAAGTTGCAAGTTAATCTCCCCAGCCAAAAACTAGAATTAAAATAATAAAGTCTAACCCCCAAAAACGAGGTTTACATACCCTATTTATAGAAAAAAAGTCTTAAATTAAAAGGGAAACAAAATTAGGAAAGTTTGTTCAGGCACGCCTCTTCATTCCACGAGACTGATTCACAGACCGTCAATGGATCTATGGTTTGTGAGTCCCTTCCGTCAGCCAGGACTTAGAAAATATTTCATCTTCCAAAAATCAGCTTCTCTGAATCAAACGACGGAACACCAGTATGGACCGTAGATCGATCTACGGTCCGTCGATCCCTCTCCGTAGCTCCATACTTGGAATTCTCCAAAAATTAGGTATTGGAACCCCTCGCAGTCACATTCTACGGTTCAGCAGTACGGTGTGTAGATCAATCTATGGACCGTCAATGGTCACCGTGGTTCCACACTTAGTTAGATTCCTTGATTCTCCTTCCATGCCTTGCCCTGCTGATCTACGATCACCATCTACAAAGTGTCAATGGACCTACGGTTTGTAGATCACCTCCGTAGATGCCCTTTTCTGCATTTCTTTCAGCTCTCTCTTTACTTCCGCACCTAAACATCTTTTCTGCAAAGCATGATAAAAACACATAAAAATTAATACAAAAAGTCCCTAGACACACACTAATCTTAAGTGAAATGTATTAAAAATATCGAAAACTCACGGTATATCAGAACTCACCCCTACACTGGAAGAAATAGGTGCATTCAAAAGAAAGGGTAAAAATATTCACGAAGGAGATCCTATGATACCAAAACATATTGGTGGTAACAAATTTTTGGAGTTATTGCACATAATTGAGAATGAAGTAGGTGGTTGCCGTGATAACGAATCGGTTTCGTAAGAATTTTTGTACCAAAGATATGACCGAAAGGATGGGTTCGAGTTATATGGAAAGAAACTTCGTAATAATGGATGTCGTTTGACCTGGGAATTACACAGTTATGATGCCTTCATAGTAGCTTTTTTGGGTATCATGTTATTTCCAAAAGAGGAGGAAAGATCAACCTAAATTTGGCTGCAGTCATTATAGCTTTTGAGAAAAAGCCTAATATCACCTTCGTTCTGATGATTCTGGCAGACATCTACCGTGCTTTGACAATTTGCAAGAATAGAGAAGATTACTTTGAGGGATGTAATATGTTACTACAACTATGGATGATTGAGCCGTTCCTCATCACCCTGATGTAGTGGACTTCAAAGTAGAGTGGAATAATTACATTGGGGGTCATGAGGAAAGAATCAAAGATCATAGTTTTTCGAAGGGTATTGAAGCTTGGAAGAAATACCTCAATAATCTAACTGATAACAAGATTGTGTGGAATTATCATTGGTTTCCGCCAGTTGAGGTGATATACATGTCTACCTTTTGATAGTTCATCGTCCTAATGTGTCTTCGAGGTGTCCAGCCTTACATGCCACTTAGAGTTATGTGACAACTTGGCCGACGTCAATTTTTACCACCTAATGAAGATATGTGGGAATTCATGTATGAGTTTCAACCCAAGATTCCTTTAAGGAAATCAGAGATATTCAAGATTTGGGGATGATGCATGCTCTCAAGTCTCGCGACAGGGTGGAGGATCTTGTTAAGGGTGAGGTGGACCAAGCATACTCAGAATGGGTTCATGATCAAACCCCTCCTAAGGTTATGCCAGAAGGATCGGTGAAAGGACCCACAAATCGAGAAAAGGAAATTGAAGTTAGAATCAAGCAAGCTTGACTCGAGGTTGAAAGAAATTATAGGTCTTCTCTGGATACCCTAAGTAATGACCTAAGGAATTCTAAAGAAGAGTTGGCTCAACGTGATGCAATATTCGAAGCGAGAGTTAGGTTGATTCAGAAAAAGGCTGAAAAGGAACATCAATCCACCATTCGAACCTTGCATGAGGATTTGGGCATTGTCACAGGCGCTATAGAGCAACAAGAAGAGGAATATAAAAAAGAAAAGGCCCTCTTAATGCACACACAGGCTAGGTTACAAAATTAGTTAAAAGCTTTTATGGGACGAGAAACGGACATAGCAAAGTGTTTCACATCGTATCAAGAAAAAGTTACTACTGAGAGAAACCAATGGAAGGGAGAACATGACGAACTTCATAACCAAATTGAAGAGCTTCAGGCACAGGAAGAGGATTTGAACCACGCGGTTGGTACTACTCAAGAATGGTTGCAGAATTGTCACGAGAATGTGGAGGAGGCTAAAGGACAAGTGCTTCAACTGACAGAGAGCTTGATTGATGTTTATGGTGTTTATCTCCATCGAAGTGATGATAGCCTAGGTCGACAGGTGCGTGCACTAGCCCCATATCTGCCAAAAGCCTTGTTCAAGGTCTACTCTAGCCTAGAGGACAATTGATGATCAAGAAATATTGGAGAAGGATTTTTTTTATTTGTTATTTCTCATATTTTCATTTCGTCGAAGTTTGTTTCAATCTTTAAGCACTTTGATGTTTTAATTTTGGTCATTTGCTTTAAGAACATTTTTTATTTGAATGATGTTTTCATTTTAAGTTAAATAAATGTCGTGTTTTCTTTTTAAACAACTTCCCTTCATGAACTACGTGATGATCTGATTCATGTTCAACATGATACGTAGGCAACCTTCAACGAGTTCGATCAAAATACGTTCAAAATATTCGAATGAGTAAAGTATGAGACCAAAAGACATAAGCAAGTCGTCCAAAGCAAGGATGAAACATAAAAACCTTCCAAAACTCATTGTAGAAATAAGAATAATTTAGGTGCATAACATACAACGTGTGATTAATATTCGCAAAGCGCTGAATCCTAACACATTTATTTTTATATATATAAGAAAGAAAGAGTTTAGAGGTGGTTGGTTTGTGAAGAGAACTGGCATCTGATGCCTATCGTGACCAACGACACTAACCTACGGTATAAGTGTCTACGATCGTCGACAGTATAGTAACCCCACTAAAGGTTAGGGTCGTGTCCCAAGGGAGTGGTTTTGAGAATTGATAGAAAAATAAAATTAAGCCCTAACTATTCGTAGCTAAAGATATTAATGAGTAAAAACATAGTAAATTAAAGGGGGTGACACGAAAGTGTCAAATATCGATTTGGGGGTTTTTCCACAAGTAGTACAAATATAAAAAATTAACAAGAAAATCAAGTATGGGGAAATGTTCTTGGGGTGTGACCGCAATACAAGTTGAGATAAGTAGTTGGGTACATGCTTTTGAAAGGAAATTTGTAAGATAATATTGACTAGGATAAGCTTTAAATGGAAATAAGTTCCCTCTCGGGCAAC